TGCGTGCGTGCGTGTGTGAGTGTGTGTGTGTGTGTGTGTGAGTAGCCCTTGAGCTGACTGAAAAGAAGAAGTTAAGAAATGTTTTTGACCTGTGCGAATTCCTGACATCTATAAGTAAGTAGCTCACTTCCTCACTGAGTCTGCACATGGTGATGGAGGTGCTTTGACCACAGGGCCTTGCTATTTCCTGCTTGGCCTTATACAGGAAAAGCTTACTAGTCCCTTATATATGTAAGTTTGTCGCTATAATTTTATAAATGAGATATTAAGGCCCAAATTGACAAATGGCCTGCTCAAGGCACACGATGTACTACTGAGGCCACCAGTGTCTTTCTGTCCTTCTGAGTGCTCATGTGACCAGTAGCCACAATGACCAAGCAGTCACTCTTAAAGGAAAGTAACTATTTAAAACTTATTACCACATGTGGGTTTATGATTCCTTAGAATTTTAATTTATAAATAACTGGTATATCTTAAAGAATCTCCTGCCGGGCGGTAGTGGCGCACGCCTTTAATCCCAGCACTCGGGAGGCAGAGGCAGGCGGATCTCTGTGAGTTTGAGGCCAGATTGGACCGACAGCCTCCAAAACAATACAGAGAAACCCTGTCTCGTAAAACCAAAAAAAAAAAATCTCCTAAGTGTTAAACACATTTGAACATCTTACATAGAAAGATGCCTCTCTATTTCCTTATGGTAGGTGACTACACCCTTTGAGAAGAGTCTGTTTACTTCCCCAATAAGAGATTGGATTTCCTTTACTCGTTGGGGTGGGAGGAACCATAAAACATATAGGGCCTGGGTTCTACTCTTAAGGGGGCAGAAGGAGAAAATCCTAAGAAGTTAGCCTTGCAGAATATGGACTTTTAATTATCCAACACAAATCCTCCTTTCCCATACAGGTTAACAACACACTCACTTTGGCATGCCCCTCTGATTAAGCTTGAACTTTTTATTGTTCCCAGCAACTGTACTCTTGCGCTTGCTGCTGGGTCTCCCTGCTTAGACACAAATGTCTCGGTGCTATTATATGCAGATTCTTAACTTTTGACCACTCTCAGTACCTAGTATGTCCAGCTTAGACCCATTCCAGAGCTGTCCTCCCTGTCACTGTCATTATACTTCACCCACTGTTGGCATCTTTTATAACTGTTCAGAGTAGCTCCAGTTATTTTATCCTGAATGTTCTCTATGGTGGTAGTTATGCAAGGACTGTGTTTTTTGGGTGCAGCCCAAACCATATTGCTGGAGACATGAAGAAGTATGCTGCTGCTGCTGTGTGTGTGTGTGTGTGTGTGTGTGAGAGAGAGAGAGAGAGAGAGAGAGAGAGAGAGAGAGAGAGAGAGAGAGAGAGAGAGAGAGAGCCCTAGTAAGCTAACCCATGCCTGAGCAGTGTCCCTTTAACCCATGGGAAGCCTGTGTCTTCTTACCATGCCAAGCAGCAGGGCCCGGAGCCTGCCAGGGATGCCTGACAAATTCTGTGTCCTTCACCAGCATCCTCAAAGGCACCAAGGTCTAGCCTTCAGTGAGTGCTTGTCTGCCGCTTGTCTGATATAGTCTTCCCCCTTTCTCCACTCTCAGCCTGACCTGCACACCCAATGGGGCTTCATTCAGCTTTCAGGTTCTGTTTTCAATGCAGTTTCATTTGAACTGACCCTTGATCCCTGATGTGCCGCACTGATCTCGGACCCCTGTTATGTGTTTTTATGAAACCCATTATTTCTCTTCATAATGCTTATCACAACTGTAATTATACAGTAATTTAAGTTATTATCTGTTTTCCTCCAGGAGACTGTAATTTCCTTAGGGCAGGAATTATGTCTGCCTCACTCCCCATCTCTGGGCCTTGTGCAAAAGGGTTACTGCACACCACCCTGAAGGCATGAGAGGAGAGAACTATTGCCATCATTGTATCCCTTTGCTTCCCCAGGGAAAGAGTGGAAGTGTCTGGATGCGTTTGAATGTTTTTTTTTTAATTTTAAGAGTAATTTTATAGTAACAAAATATTTACATTAAACACCAGGTGAAGCAGAGTTGTGTTAAGATAAACAAGTGTTCAGGACAGTATCTTTTGCTGGTAATATTTCCTCTGTGCATCGATCAGATCAGCTCACCAAACACTGTGTAAACTGCCAAGCACTAGGACAGTCTGGATGAGTACATGAAACTAGGAGGCCCTTCTGCACAAGTTGTAATCTTTCCTTTTTCTCTCTTTGCATTTCATCCTCCTCCCTCCATTTCTTTTATTCCTTCTTCTCATGTTCCCCATCTTCTTTCCATGTCCAATAACTGGAGAAAGCTGAAGCAATAGCCGTTTTGTGGTCCTATGTGCATGTCTATTTTTTCTCTCTCACAGAAAGTTGCATGTGCAGACTTTATCTCAAAAGTCCTTTGGGTCACACCTAGGACTATCCTTGGCAGTTTGCAGGCTACTGTGACGGACTCAGACGATACAGTGCAGGATTGCATTTCCTGTGATTCACATCCTTATGGATTGTGTGCACAACTGTAATGCCTGAGATACTGCTTCCTAGGACAGCTGCTTTGTGATAGGAAGCCCTGGTCTTCTGTGCACTGTCCCACGTGATAAGATTGTCTCAGCGTATGCTGTCACATGCTGCTCACTGCAGTCCACCAGGCATTCTGACTCTGGCTTAAGGAGAGAAGGGCAATGAGTTCTTTTCTCTGCCTTCATCCAGATCTACATCTAGAAACAATACAGAAAACTATCTTTTTTTCATGCAAATTCTCTGTCCTCAGGCAATCAGCTATCTAGAAGAATAATCAAGAAGGCACATTCTGGTGGCAGAAAATTACCATTAGATCTCTGAGCTAGATCATTCAGAGGCACATATCAAATGCTGTCACTACTAGACCAGAACTCAAGAGAACTTTAATTTGTGGATGAATTCTAAGAGATGCATATCTATGTATTTGCAAATGTGTATCTGGTAGCCTTAAAATAAGACAATATAGCTTTGCCAGAAAACAAAAACAGGATAAAGACGTCTCTGATAGTCTAGAAGTGGACATTTCAATAGTGTACTAAACTTACTAAAGGACCCAATTGATTTTGGTGTTGAGCAAAGGTCTCACTGTGTCATCCAGTCTAGTTTTCTATTGGCAATGTTCCCCACTTGGGCTCCCAGGTCCTGGCATTGCCAGCATGTGCCACTGACACTACAAGCATGCCCACTGTTGTTGTGTATGGAGAGCTCCTTTGCACCTCCCAGATATTGCTGTGGGTTTTTCATGTCTCCTGTTGGAAGGCACTTCATATATTCTTCTAAAGACATAGATTAAAACTGACCCTAAAGACTTGAATTGATGAAGAATTGGGAGAAATTTACCTTCATTTAAAAAAATTGACTGGACCCCCTTTGCTCATCACTCGTCCCTCTCTGCAACTGGATTCCAGGAATCTAGCTCAGTGTTTAGCTGTGGGTGTCTGCTTCTGTTTCCATCAGCTACTGGATGAAGGCTCTAGAATGGTATATAAGGTAGTCATCAGTTTCATGATTGGAGGAGGGCATTTAAGGTAGCCTCTCCACTATTACACAAATAGACTTTGGGAGCCCACTCAACATAGAAGGATACTCTCTCAGCCTAGACACACAGGGGAGGGTCTAGGCCCCTCCAAATAATATGACAGACTTTGAAGATTCCCCATGGAAGAGCTCACTCTCCCTGGGGAGCAGAAAGGGGATGGAGTAGGGGGTCGGTGTGGGGCAGGGGAGGAAGGGAGGGAGAGGGAACTGGGATTGACATGTAAAACAAGCTTGTTTCTAATTTAAATTCCAAAAAATTGACTGTGGGTGGATTGGTTCCATTTACTTGGAAGAACTTTTTCATCCTTTTACCCTAAGGTGGGTGGTTCTCAACCTGTGGGTTGTGACCCCTTTAAGGTCAAATGACTCTTTTACAGGGGTCAACTAAGACTATAGGAATATACAGATATTTATATTTTGATCCATAACAATAGCAAAATTACAGTTATTAAATAGCAACGGAAGTATTTCATGGTTAGGAGAGGATCACCACAACACAAGGAACTGTATTAAAGAGTCAGAGTACTAAGAAGGTTGAGAAGCACTAGCTTAGTGGTTAAGAGCACTTGCTGCCTTAGAGAGGACCTGGATTCTTTGGTTCCCAGCAACCGTGGTGGCTCACAGTCATTCATAACTCCTGGAGATCTGATCCCCTCTCTGATCTTCACAGATATCAGACACCCACACAGTGCACACACGGAGCAAGTGAAACATCATGAATATAGTAATCTGAGAAAAAAACCTCACACTATTAAATAGAATTATAAAGCTGAACAGAAACAATGGCTGAGAAACAACAAGACATTGGATGACCACCATAGGTGGTCTTCCTTAGCACCCCTGTGGTTATTGTTCAAGAAGAGACTGTTCTCAGTCGGAACCAAAGCTGCATTTTCTTAGGCCTTGTTATGGAGTACTGGGTGCATCTGTGTTCCTGTGCACAACCCCACCCGCCCATTCAGACACAGAGGAGTGAGAAAACACCTATAGTCCTATGCTAAAGAGAACAGAGAACACAGAGCAGCCCACCCTGTTTTACACACATTCTTTGCACAACTCAGATCTAACCCATGCTCTTCAGATTTCAGTCTCAAGTCATTTTTCTGGATGTCAAGCCTACACCAATAGTGTCACCCTTATTTGCTATACAGTCATCATCAGTAAATCTATCTTAGAAATGTATCTATTAAATTTTGTTTTGTTTTTTGAGACAAGGTTTCTCTGTGTAACTTTGGAGGCTGTCCTGGCACTTACTCTGTAGACCAGGCTGGCCTCGAACTCACAGAGATCCCCTGCCTCTGCCTCCGGAGTGCTGGGATTAAAGGTGTGTTAACTGTGATGTAGTGAAGATATTCAATTGTCTTCAAGGCTTAAAATTTGAACTTTTTTTCACTTCCTTTTGTTGCTTTGAGAAATGTCTAATACATTTTTATTTCTCTTTTCCTCAACCCCAGCATATCAATAATGACCACATTCATGGAGAAAAGAAGGAATTTGTGTGTCGCTGGCTTGATTGCTCAAGAGAGCAGAAACCCTTCAAAGCTCAGTACATGTTGGTAGTGCACATGAGAAGACATACTGGCGAGAAGCCTCACAAATGTACAGTGAGTACACACCTGGGCAGCCTCAGTGTCCCCTCACACAGGCGAGCGTGACACTTCACTCTGTAGGTCTTTCCTAGCGTGCTCAAGGGTTGTGCATGTTAATGACCCAGGGTCGTGAAAGGGTGGTTGGGCAGTAGGGAGGAGAGATGGTGTGCTGTCGGGAAAGTGCCGTAAAGTTGAGCTTTAGACTGGACATCTCTGCATAGTGCAAGCCCGTGGAAGATGGCCGGCTCGGGATGCTCATGGCGTCTGTGTCTGCCCTATCTCCACAGTTCAGCACGCTGCAGGATAAAACACGAAGCTGATGTGGTTTTCCGTTTAATTTTATTATTTGTGTATTAGTGGTCAAAGGACAGTTTTGTGGAGTTGATCTATCTCTCCTTGCTCTTTTGTACAGGTTACAGTTATGAAACTCGGGTTGCACTGTGACCCATGTTACAGTTTCTAAGTTGATCTTTCTTTATCAAGAACAAAATTCAAAATGTTAGGTTTGGGATGTAGCTCATGGAAGAGCACTTAGCTACTATTTACAAAGCTCTACATGGTAACAATATTCCAATTAAAAACCCCATTTATAGCATTTGAGTGCACCACACAGGTGCACTAAAACATAAATGAGCTTGTTGTCTGTCTCCACTATCTCAAAATGTGCACGTATATATTCTGAAATTTAAGAAAACTCCAGCTACTTCTTGTCCCAAGGCTTTTGGGTGAGGCATACTCAGCCGCTCTTGGCTGTGATTACTCCTCCCTCTTTGCTCAGTCTTCATGGCTTCATGGGGGAGTGTAATGTAGCCTCTGGAGTGCGCTGCGGCTGCAGGGAGCCTGCACTTTTGTCTCAGGAGGTGCTCTGAGCACTGCACAGCCCTGGTCCTTTACATTTTAAAGGACCTTTACAAACATGATCAAATTCCATGGCTTTGTATAGACACAAAGCCATATTAATGAACTTTGTGCTGCATCTCAAATCAGTGGGAATTGGAGGAGATCAATGAGCAGATAATGAAATTCATTGTCCACATTGAGCTGTCTATTAAAAAAATAGGAAAGGGGGAAAAGCCTTCAGGAGTTTTACAGGCTCTGACAAAGCTTTGTCTTCAACGGCCCCAAGCCACATCTGAATCCCAATAAATGCAGAGTTTAGTGGAGTTTTTGTTCTACGGTTTTGAAAAGCTGCTGACCCTTGAAAGGTCAAGTTTTTATCCACTTGGAGAGGGGGTTAAGCACAAGCTGCAGCTGCTATTGTGTGGAGTGGTCCACATTTACCTGTTGTCCTCAGTTTGAAGGTTGCACAAAAGCCTACTCGAGACTAGAAAACCTGAAAACGCACTTGAGATCTCACACTGGAGAGAAGCCATACGTCTGTGAGCATGAGGGCTGCAACAAGGCTTTCTCCAATGCTTCAGATCGGGCCAAGCACCAAAACAGAACACATTCCAATGAGGTAAGCCCCCTCCAAGGATCCAATGCTACAGGCAGAAACAATGAGCCTTCTTGTGGAATATACATGGTAAAGTAGGTGTGTTCTGTTTTACTTTCCCTGGCCTGTTCTCACTATGAGTGGTCTCTGACCGTGTAAGGGAAGGCTTGGGGCCTCAAGGATGGACCCTGTTTGGAGTGTAATACAGATGAAGAGGGAATTTTATAAAACCCTTTCTGAACTTGGTTTCCTATTGCTTGGAACTGCCACCTACTGGCCAGACAGCATTTAGCTTGGAGTTCAGCCTGCCTGCTCTGCCAGAATAGCCTGGATACACACAATGTAGGACCCTGTACTGACTAAAGAGACCCAGAGCCACCACACTGGCAGGTGACAGCTCACTGCTGAAAGCATACCCTCTTAGTTTGCTTTCTTGGAGACAGAGGTATCATCACATGCATCGTTAAATTGTTTCCATGGAGCGAACAGCTTAAATAAAGTTTATAGACATTCTAGATTCCAGAGGATCATGGAAGATAGTCTTAGAATGCCAGCTAATACTTAAGTCAGTTATTTAGGATACAGTGAGTGAAGCCTCATCGTAGTACTTGATTTATGTTGTATTGCTATTATTTTTAGGTAATTATCCCCAGATTACTGATAAGTGTAAAAATGAAAATAGTTCCAGATTTGTTTTAGCTGCAAATGTATAACTTCTCCTTGGAGGTGTAGTGGGAATACTGGCTCCTGTAAACTGTCCCTTAAACAAATATGAATAACAAAGCTCCCCTCATTTGGGATAGAAATGAGAAAGCTAACAGCACACAGTGTAGGCCTGCAAAATGTGTCTTCGGTTGACTTGAAATGTTGGAAAAGAAGTTTACATGTGTGAGACTCTTGAGTGGCTGTTACCACCTCATCAGATAGAGACCAATCTCACTTGACCTCACCAGATAGAGACTAGTCTCACTTGACCTCATCAGATAGAGACCAGTCTCACCTACAGCCTTGTGGTTTCTAAACCAAGTTAGCCACATTGCTCAGAAGCTACTTGGCTTTAAGTGGGGGAAGACAGTCCTGGTGAGAGAGTAAAACAGCTTTTCATGAGATCATCTACACAGTCGAAATGTGTATTCAGATCTGGTCACACTCAAGGCTCACTCTTGCATGTCCACAGACACCAGCTCTTTCCAAATCTCATGGTGTGATAAAGATATATAGGTGATTTTGAATCTATTACTAACCTGAGAGACATTTTTGGGGTGTGGTTTTTCTGTTGAAAATGTTTTTTTTTCTGGGAGCTGGAGAAAGGGTTCAATAATTAAGAGAACTGAGTGTGCTTACAGAGTTTTGATCCCCAGCACCCACATGGCTGCTCACAGCTGTCTGTAACTCCAGTTCCAGGGGGATCTGACACTTCTTCTAGCTTCTGTGGTCACTATGTGCAAATGGTGCATGGACATACATATACAATAATATAAGATTCAATTTTTTAAAGGAATGCCTTGGTAGACATTTTTTAATGTTTTTTTCCCTGTGTTTAATAGCTACCATGTCATTTGATGCTCTTATTTTGAACATTTTAGGGAGTCTAGAATGGACAAATCCATGGAGATAAAATAGATTAGTATCTGCCACCAGCTGCAAGCTGAGTCAATAGGAAACTGCTGATTTTGGAGTGTTAAAATGTTCTAGAATTATTGTACAACATGAAAAATGTCCTAAGTGTGGCTGAGTCATGCAGGTTGTTTTTTGTCAACCCTAATTTCAGTTCAGTTTGAAAACCTTCGCTTGGAATTTAATTAGCATAGTAATTAAATTTGCTATATCTCCTATGCAAAAGTTGAAGAAGGCATTCGTGTAGGCCAAGTCTCCTGTTACAGAAAAATCTGGTCAGTGAGTATATTCAGACAGGGATGCGCAAATATCTTTTATGAACTTAAAACGTGTGCATGTCTGCTTGCTTCAGGTATGGTCTAATTATTTATTGAGTAAGTTTTTTGTATGGGTAACGCACAGTTATAAGCACATTACATATCCATGAATTGGGAGTTAAACCCAGATTTTTATAACTGACATTTAATTATCACAACCAAAACAGAAGCCTTCATTTGTCTGTGTCTTTAGGATTCACACTTTATACTGTAAATAATTGCATGGTATGATTTTTCCTACCAGAAAATAAGACTTCTTATACAAAATATAAAGGATTTTTATGGCTACACATCTTTGTGCAAAAGGAATCTTGTATATAATAGGACACATTTGATGTTTGGTGAAAACAAATTTTTCTGGGACAGTGGCTCAACTCTAGAATCCCAATCCTATAATCCCAGCACCTGGAAGACTGAGGCAGGAGACCCATGAATTCACAGCTAGTGTGGGCCATAGAGAAGGAACATTGTGTGTGTGTGTGTGTGTGTGTGTGTGTGTGTGTGTGTGTGTGTGTGTGCGTGTGTGTGCGCACGCGCGCCCACATGTGTGCATACATTCTATAGTCAGAAGAAAATGCATTGGCAGCTTTCCAACAGTACCTAGTATACAAGTCAAAATGGTAACGATCATGATAGAAGTTAAACCCCCAGGACATGAAAAGCAAACCACTCAGCAAGTCTACTATTTGTCATGGCCTGTCATTGCATTTTATTGCTATCACATAATTTTAAGGTCAAACTCTACAGTTGTATTTATGTGTTTCTTTTTAAAACATAAACTTCCAGAATCTGTGTTCTTGTAGATTTTTGTAGGTGATTAGTGTTCATGTTCACATACACCGGTACATGGTTACAGGTGTGCTGATGTGTGCCATTGGTCTTTAAAATGCTAGTTCTGATGAGCTTCTCTGTGGGCGTTGCACATCAGTTTTGTCCTCATTTCTAGACTAATCTTAATATTCACATGCATGTGTATATAGGAAGAGTGGCTCTTTGGTATGTTCTGTGCCTCTCTCCCTGTGCCCACGTATCTGCCTCATGCACTCTGCTAATGGAACAGCCTGTCCCATTGGTACCCTGAATAAGCACGAGGTTGATGTACAAACACCTAAAGGTAATGGCACAAACTGTCAGAATCATTCTTCTGTCCCTAATGCATGGAATCCTGTACTTTCATTTCATCATGTATATGCGGCAAATCACAGAGCTCCTGAGTAGATGTAATTTATAGTTAATGGGAATCAATTCCACCCAACTGAATCTTACATTTGAAGGTGAAGTCTCTCAGGATAATGTTCGAAATCTTCATGTCTCTGTATTACAAAATTTCAGCATTTTAGGTTGCACTCAGTCTGGTCTTGGACTTTTAGTGGGGGGAAAAAAGCGTCTTTCAGACGTGCATTCTACAAGACAGGGTGTTTAGCAAGGATCAGAAATACATTATTTTAATAATGCTTCTTATGGTAATTTCTTATATGCTAGCATAACTTCTGGTACACAGAAATGGAAGTACATGGTACCTTTATGGCATTCAGCAACAGATTATGCCCAGAACCCTTACACACATGAGAACCAGAGAGTGTACGATCTCCTCAATAAAATGCTGCAATATAACCTCTCCTACCTTACATTACAATGTAAATGATGTGCAAATAGTTGTTCTGTTTTTAGGGAATAGCAACAAGAAAATGTATCTGTCCATGGTCACTACAAGGATAAGCTTTTCACACTACAGGTGTGAATTTCGTGTTTTTGATCTGAAGTCAGTTGAGTTTGTGTACACGGAGCCCTTGAACAGGCAGGGTTGACTTTAGTCATACAAACATCTCATAGCTGTATTATTTTGGAAGTCAAGGAAACAAAATCACCGTTCTGGCATTGGTTAAGAGGGGGGTGGAGTTCTGTGATCTATATGAATATTTAATTATAAACATTCCTATGCTTAAAACTTTATCAGGCAATATGGTCACTGACTCAGGTAGAAGGTAAAATTAGCATGTAGTTCTGTCATGTGTAGACCTGGAAAGTCAGAACAAAGCAGACTGGGAGTCCTGGTTTTCTGTAAACCATTCACTAGCCCTGAGAAATGTATGGAAAGGGTGTATGGACAGTCTACAATGAAACTATAACTTTAAAGACAGAGATTTTAAGCCTTGAACACCAAACAGTTGTAATGCTATGCAAAGGAGCGCATTTTAGTGAAATGATGTGAGAATAGCTCTGGGCAGTTTGATTTTATTTCTTATTATTATAATACCCGTATACAAATAGCACATTTGCCCAGCAAAGAATTAATAGATCTTAGAACCAAAATAAGATTAAAAAAATTTTCACCCAAACTGTCTCCTGCAAGATGTATAAAATGGTCCTGATATCATCTTCCTGCAATCCTCCCTCCATTATCCTCATCAACAGATGGAGAGTCATGATATTTCCACTCACAGCATAAATGCTTCCAACAATGTAAAGTCAGTTTATACACGTCTACCACTTTCTGGGCTCCCTACAGTAATACCCTATTAAGCTAGATTCTATGGACACTGAGAAATGTCCAAATAGCCCTTCTAAGTCATTAGACCTGAACAGTATCTGAATGATGTAGAAGTATTTTTGAAAGAATTAGAATTGTAATGAACAACTGCTAAGTCATAATCACTTTCATAACCATCCATCAACGATTCATTTTTGTGGTATTTGATAGAAACCGTATGTATGCAAAATCCCTGGCTGCACCAAACGTTACACAGACCCCAGTTCTCTCCGGAAACATGTGAAGACTGTGCATGGTCCTGAGGCTCATGTCACCAAGAAGCAGCGTGGGGACATGCACCCTCGGCCTCCGCCCCCAAGGGATTCTGGCAGCCACTCACAGTCCAGGTCCCCCAGCAGGCCGACTCAGGGAGCCTTTGCTGAACAGAAGGAGTTGAGCAACACTACCTCAAAGCGGGAAGAATGCCTCCAGGTGAAGACAGTCAAGGCTGAGAAGCCCATGGTATGTCATTCACTCTCCTATTCTCCCAGAGCTGACCAGGCTCATTGAGAAAAGACCCAACTGAGCATGTCAGGAGACAACATGGCCTCCTTTTCATTGCATCTGGACACTCCTATTTGAGTGTCACGGGCCCAGCAATTGAGACTGCTCACTTGAAGTTAGAAAATAACTTTGCTTAGAAAATAACTTTGTTCAGAAGGAGTTTCTAAGATTCCTACCTGACTTTTTAAAACTGATCTAGGGCCATGCTACTTGTGGCAGACAGACATGGCTGTCAGTCTCTTCAAAGTAGCTACTCTGTAGGAAATCATTCCTTGAGCCTTTCTGTAAATACGCTTTCTGTCTTCCTTGCCCTGGTGACCCCAGGGTGAATAAGCTGAAGTCCATATTCTTTGGGGGCGTGCTTACAGTTCAGTGGAATACACAGATGGAAAAACAAATACAATTCAGACGATGAGGCTTAACCATAAGTCTGTGAAAAGCCTTCTAGAGAAGGAGAATTGGCAATGGGCTCTGAGGGCAGAGGCCATGAGGATAGAGTTCAGCATTCAGGCCAGGGAGAGCAGTGGGTCCTGGGAAGGGGAAGGAGAGGGGAGCTACGAGTTGTGGGATTTGCCAGAGCAAAGGGAGATGAGGGCAAGTGCAAGATTAGTGGGTGACAGTGTTAACAGCCCTAGTGTTAAGTATTGCAGTGCAGGTTACGGACAGTGGAGACAGTCTGCACATGCCCAAAACCATGACACCTCCCATTGCTAAGTAATTATTTGTAGCAGCTTATTTCTAAATGACTTAATATGTGAATATTTATCAACAAATTAAATTACAAAGATTGTACTCAAGGAGATGAAAACTGAACCATATATTTACAGGTGAGAAAATAGAAGTTCTACGAAATGATCACATTTCCACAATAGATGCTGTGTGTACATGTACACATTTAAATGCCAGATGCCTTTGTAGACATTGATTAATGATCATTATGTTACATTTCTAATATTATTTCTTTTGAAACATGTCTTTAATTTGGTCATCATGCTGTAAATTAAATTCTTTCTTCTTTTTTCTTATTAATGCAACACCTCTTCTGTCTATTGCTCCCAAATGTCTTGTTCTCACTTCCTAAGGACAGTGGGTAATAAGGTGAGGGAATTTTGGCTTCTCTATTCTTTTTTTTTTTTCATTTTAACATGCAAGCTTTCTTCCCATTCCATCTTTCTTTGGTTCTTATGACTTGTGATATCTTTGGTGAACATTACTCAACTCTGTGCCTTGCACATACACAGCATGTGAAAAATGGAAATTTAGATGATGAAACTCATTGTTACTTTTTCCTAGGTCTTCATAATAAGTCACACTGGGCCAACCAAGTAGTTGTTCTCAAATTCTATTTAATTGCTGTCCTGACTAGCATAAATTCAAGTGTGGGACTAGACATGTACTGTTAACTTTGAAGAAGACCTAGATAAATTTGTTAGCAACTTTACCTGAGTGCATATATAAGTAGCCACATGCCTTTTCCCGTGCTCTGTGGTAGTGTGTGAGCATAGTCCTGTACACAGATCCATGTACATATGTCCTGATTGTTCTGTCAAAGAATGAAAGTTACCCAAAGCCGTAAAAACTCCTAGTACCTCCGGTTGAGCTGGTACCTCAAGAGTTTGCTGAGACAAAGTAATTAAGCAAGAATTTACATACAATCAGATTTACATATCTTCTTTAGCTCTACATGGTTGCCCAGGGTGAAGTCACTGTATCATGTGGCACTTGCTAAGAAAATATGTGTTTACTTTAGATTGATATACCGTGAAAATAATAAATAACGTTGAAAGGATTCCCAGAGATTTACCTCTATGAATACCTTCTTAGAAGCATTGTATATCCATCCACCTGAGAATAACTGGGTAACTCTTTTACTTTCTGTTAGTTGCTCCAGTTTTTATAGGAAGCCTGGAGAGAGTACTGCAAGAGCACAGATTAGCCATCCTGGGAGTCTAAACATTGTGATTTTCAGTGGTCACTAAACTTCTCTGAAGATCACTTTTCTTGTTCTTACAAAGATGTGACTTCGTCATTTGGTACCCTTGCAACTTTCCATATGTGAGAACTGTCCTGTGTGGTACAGTTCTGTTCTCATGGGGCTTCCCAGACCCTGAGATGATTAGGCTTTTCACCTACTAACTATCCCAGAAGCCTTGGTGTGGACAAAGTAGTACTTTCTCTGATTGAGACTAGTCAATAAGATTATGTTTCCATTAATTACAAAATTTTCTTTCAGTGTCCACTTGGTTAGGATTTGGAGGACACACTAAGAGAGGAACAGTAAAATCAATATAGGAACCCGGGCCACTATCCATTGCAGCCTTTCTTCCCTTCTCAATGTGACAGAAGCAAAGTGATTGATGCTGTACCTATTATAGCTGCCTTGACCCATACCCTGTTGAAGGTCTATAACACCAGGAAAGGATAGGATAATTTGGGAACCAGGTCTGAAGAGCCTATAGGGAGCCTTGTTGAAAAGTTATAATATGTCCTATGGAGCATCCCCCATATGTATGTTGTAACCTAGCAAAATCAACCTAGTTGGAGCAATAATTACTAAATCCTCCTGACCTCATCTTTAACTTTACCAGATCTTTACTTAGGTGTTCTCTGGGATTTACATTAATTTCCAATAGCAACCCTTAACAATTGATCCCATTATATACATAAAGAAGCTGCTGAGATGAATGGTTAAGAAATTTGGAGACAGAATTGAACACACTTGGAACAGGACCCCATGACTGATAACTCTGATCACACCACATCTAGCATCTTCTACCATCTGTCACCTCTGCTTGTGCATCAGCCTGGTGGGCCATTATCATTTTGGCCCAGAGACTACTTCATCCACCAGCACATGGTTTTTCTTCTCATTTAACCTGCTGAAAACATGAAGGTGTTGACTTGCATGAGCAGTCATTTTGACTTAACTTCTCTTTACCCTTCCTCATATCATGTTGTTCCTTTTTTCTTCACCCCCAATAGACATCTCAGCCAAGCCCTGGTGGTCAGTCTTCATGCAGCAGCCAACAGTCCCCCATCAGCAACTATTCCAACAGTGGGCTCGAGCTTCCTCTGAATGATGGAGGTAGTGTAGCAGACCTCAGTGCCATCGATGAAACCCCAATCATGGACTCGACCATTTCCACGGCAACCACAGCCCTTGCTTTGCAAGCCAGGAGAAACCCGGCAGGGACCAAATGGATGGAGCATATCAAACTTGAAAGGCTAAAACAAGTGAATGGAATGTTTCCAAGACTGAACCCTATTCTACCCTCCAAAGCCCCTGCGGTGTCTCCTCTTATAGGAAATGGTAAGTTCCACCTTAGACCACATGTCGGTCTGCTCTCGATACTTCTTTTCCTTTAAGAGTGGCCAGAACATGCCAAGAAGACCTGGCTTGGTTTTATATTTATTAGTTTCTCCACAGATCCTAGACTTAACGCTTATATCTATCTGTGTTGATATTGAACCATTTACATTGATTTTCTGAGTGGTCCATATTTTGGAAATAATAACAGAATAATATTGGATCTAAAAATGTGCAGGACTCGGCTTTTGATGGAGAAATTACAACTGTTCCAAATCCAGCAGGACAAGAAAAACCTCAGCAATAGGTGCATTTGCGATTAGTGCCTAACTTGACTTCCCAAAACATAAAACCAAGAAAATTTTATCTGTTTGCCCAAGCTAGTTGAATGCTTGGAGGAAATGCTTATTGGCAGCTGACTTAAAGCATTCTTAACTTTACATCTCTCTTTCTCTCCTCCCTCTGTGCCTTCCCTCCAGGCACACAGTCCAATAACAACTATAGTTCAGGCGGGCCCGGGACCATCCTCCCGAGCAGAAGTGACCTGTCTGGTGTTGACTTCACCGTGCTGAACACGCTCAACAGGAGGGACAGCAGCACCAGCACCATCAGCTCTGCCTACCTGAGTAGCCGCAGATCCTCGGGCATCTCCCCCTGCTTTTCCAGCCGCAGGTCCAGTGAGGCGTCCCAGGCTGAAGGACGACCCCAGAATGTGAGTGTGGCTGATTCCTACGACCCTATCTCCACAGATGCCTCACGGAGGTCCAGCGAGGCCAGCCAGGGCGATGGGCTGCCCAGTCTGCTCAGCCTCACCCCTGTGCAGCAGTACCGCCTCAAGGCCAAGTACGCTGCTGCCACTGGTGGTCCACCGCCTACACCCCTGCCACACATGGAAAAGTTGAGCCTGAAGACCAGGATGGCCTTGCTTGGGGAGGGTAGGGACTCGGGGGTGACCCTGCCTCCAGTTCATCCTCCTCGGAGGTGCAGTGATGGAGGAGGCCAGGCATACAACCGGCGTCACCTGCTGCCTCATGATGCACTAGCAAACAGTGTGAGGAGAGCCAGCGACCCTGTGAGGACAGTCTCCGAGAACATGTCACTTCCCAGGGTTCAACGCTTCAGCAGCCTCAACAGCTTCAATCCTCCAAGTTTGCCTCCGTCGGTGGAAAAGCGTAGCTTAGTGTTGCAAAATTATACCCGACCAGAGAGCAGCCAGCAGCCCCGATACTTCCAAGCGTCTCCTTGTCCTCCCAGCATCACAGAAAATGTTGCCCTGGAGGCCCTGACCATGGATGCTGATGCCAACTTGAATGATGAAGATTTCCTGCCAGATGATGTAGTACAGTATTTAAATTCCCAGAACCAAACAGGGTATGGACAATTACAGAGGGCCATCTCTGAAGACAGCAAAGTAGCCCATGGGCCAGAGGACTTGGACCTACCAGGGCTGCCAGACAGTCATGTTGGCCAGCAGTACCCGGCTATGGAGCAGCCCTGCCCTGAGGGTAGCAAAACTGATTTGCCTATCCAGTGGAACGAAGTCAGTTCTGGAAGCTCTGACCTGTCATCCTCCAAGCTGAAATGTGGTCAGCGCCCTACCATACAGCAGGCTCGAGCCTTTGGCTTATACAACAATATGGTGGTGCACCCACAGAATTCATGGAAGGTTGGGACTGGTCCAGCTGGGGGATATCAGACCCTCGGGGAGAATGGCAGTACCTACAGTGGCCCAGAGCACTTTGTCATTCACAGTGGGGATGGCCCTGGCTCAAATGGAAATGCTTTCCATGAACAGCCCTATAAGACCCAGCAGTATGGGAGCCAGCTCAACAGGCAGCCACTGACTTCCAGTGTACTAGATAATGCCTGTGGTGCTGGAATTCAAGGGTCCAAGCTGAAAGGCAACGCCTTGCAAGAGAATGGGGGTTTGCTAGATTTTGGTCTGTCCACGGCACCAAATGAATTAACTGGCAACTCAGTGAATGGCATACAAACCCAAGATCAAATGGGACAGGGATACATTGCTCATCAGCTACTCAGCGGCAGCATGCAACACCAGGGGGCCAGCCGCCCTGGTCAACAGATACTAGGGCAGGTTGGTGCTACCTCACATATCAACATCTATCAAGGGACAGAAAGCTGCCTGCCAGGGACTCAGGACAACAGCAACCAACCAGCGAGCGTGGCAATTGTCCGGGGCTACCAGCCCTGTGCCAGCTATGGGGGCAGTAGGCGTCAGGCAATGCCAAGGGGCAGCCTCACTCTGCAGCAAGGACAGCTCAGCGATGTGAGTCAGACGAGCAGGGTGAACAGCATCAAGATGGAGGCACAAGGGCAGTCCCAGCAGCTCTGCTCTAATGTGGAGAATTACTCTGGTCAGTTCTATGGCCAAACCGTGGGCTTCAGTCAGCAAGACAGGAAAGCCGGTTCCTTTTCCCTTTCAGATGCCAGCTGCCTGCTCCAAGGGAATGGCACTGAAAACTCTGAGTTACTTTCCCCAGGTGCTAACCAAGTGACAAGCACAGTTGACAGCTTTGAGAGTCATGACCTAGAAGGTGTGCAGATTGATTTTGACGCCATAATAGACGATGGGGACCATACCAGCCTGATGTCCGGGGCCTTGAGCCCAAGTATCATTCAGAACCTTTCCCACAGCTCCTCCCGTCTCACCACACCGCGGGCACCCCTCCCATTCCCGCCCCTGCCCATGAGCACCACCAACATGGCTATCGGGGATATGAGTTCTTTGCTGACCTCCCTTGCAGAAGAAAGCAAGTTCCTTGCAGTTATGCAGTAGGCAAGGAGGACCACAAGTAGAGGTAAAACTTTAGGACTTGAAAGATTGAATTGACTCTGTTTGGACTTTTTCCCCCCTAAGTTCTGTATGTATTTTAGCAATCTCATCTCACTTGACTGGGATGTGTCTCAAGTATATTCCTTTTATGGAAAAGGACTCTGAAAAACCCTAAGGTATTCTAGGGGAGAAACTGTCTTCCATTTCAGTTTTGAATCAGTATTGTGACATTCAAATCACCCTCTTGTGTTAACCTGTAAGCCTGCCCTCTTTTTGAGTGAACCAATGTAAATGTGTGATGTGCATGTTCTTTCTTTTAGAAGGGAAGTCATCAAATTAAAAGATTTGGCCTGCTTCTCTGCTATCCCAGAAACTAGGAATTCATGTTCCTGTGACCAAGGGGTTACAGGTCCACCTTTTAAACTTTTTCTTTACAATACTTACTCAGTGATGTGTGTGTGTGTGTGTGTGTGTGTTTTCCCACACTGAGTACAAGAATCGAACGAATGGTGGGTTTGAAGATTGTGGGGGCACTATAGTTAGTATAAATAGCAGGTTTTTATGTGTTCCCCACCTTGATTCAATTCAGGGCATACTTTTAACAGCTACACAAAAGTGAAAATTTGGAGATCCTACAAATGAAATGGTTTGTATTGCATTCAGAGATTTTTAGGGGGTTAAATTCTATAAGTATGCATCCTGTGCGTGCATACGTCTATGTGGTCAGTTCGCAGTCACCTCCTTCCCCTGAACCTTTATAAACATTCATCGTTATTTCAGACTGCCGGGAGAGAGTGGACGAGTGGCAGATGTTCAGACAGTCACTCTTTTAGCTCTTTGTAAGAAGTTAGACCAATTGGGTAAAATTAGTTTGAGAACTGTTTTGCGGACTTGCTATAATTGATTATTGGTCCCACCTCTTTCCTGATTATCATAGATAACTAAGAATTGATTAAATGTAGCTCTAAGTAGGTATTTAAGCAACCCACTATTGGATGTATCATTATCATTTATTAATTTCACTATCACAAGGGAATATGTCTACTCTAAGTGCCCTATTCTAAGAGACGTGTAAAACTTAATTGTAAAAGGCAAAATTCACATACATTGACATTGGAAATAAATTGCTTTAACCATTTTTAGCATTGGAGAGCATGAAAGATGATATTTAGTAGCCATATGGATTCTAAACACCATTAGTCCTTAATATGGACTAGTCCTTTTGCTTTGAATTAATTTTAAAGATCTACACAGTGCAGCCACTCCTCACTTGCAATTGACACACAAAACCATACTATGTGTGCAGAGTACATGGCTTATCCAGCATATTACTGTAAAACTATGTAAATGATTAAAATAAAATGCTTACCCATCAGCCCCCAACACTGGATTTCCCCCCAAGTGATTCTTGACACAGTTGTGTGGTTTTTCCTCTTAGATCCTTTCGTGAAAAATAGGAGTAGAAAAATGAAAACCAAGTAAGTGTTAGTTAGTAGCAAGAATGTTACAACCAGCCAGTTTTACTCATGCCTATTTTCTCTCAGATTTCAACAGGGAGAAAACTTTGCCATTCAGGACTTTGTGGTTAAGCTAGCCAGTTTGCTTCCTGTTAGATGTCCCTAGGACCAGTAGACCAGTTTACAAGCCACACCCTGCAGCCCTCTCCCAGGGGACTTCCTGTAAATCAAAGGACCGTAAGCAAAAGAGAACTGCTGGCCTGGGTTCAGGTGTGTAAAGCAGGTCCCCTCTGTTCTTCTAGCAGGCCACTTTCCCATCACTGATGGAATCCCTGAATTTCACTTCTCACAACTTTCTGGGCTGGGTCTTACCTGGCTTGCCCTTGGGTTTTACCTGGCTTGCCTTATTATTTGGCCCAACCCCTTTATTACTTTTAGTTTAAAAAGGAGGGGAGGCTCAGGCTTGCTCAGCAAGAAGAGTGAGCCTGGTTCCGGGTCATACCCTTTTCTCCTCCAGCCGAGTCTTTCTAGGAGTCAAGTCTCTAGTGTCATGATTTTCCAAACTGACTGTCCCTTCTAGGGGGAGGCAGAGCAAAGAACCAGACTGCTGCCACCTTACCTTCTGGCTTTGCTGCATTCATTTCTTCTTTCTCATTCTTGCTTTTCAAGCTGTTGCCTTTAGATTTGTGGAACCAGTTTTTCCACGCAATAGCCGACTTTTCTCAATATGAAAATTCCAGAAGGATACAGGTTTTAAAAAAAATGGATGGTGGAAAGTATTCTGTCACAAGATTTCAGTGATCTGTCATCATAGTCCAGTGCAAGAAAGGTCATTTGGTCGCTAAAACTCTCCTATGGGATGAGATCTCTGCAGGCATGACATTTTCTGTCAAAACCCACTCAGCCTGCAACCCCTTTCTCTTCTTTGGATGTTGCATTTAGGAGAAACACCTTTAATGCTAATGTCACCTTTGCTTTTTAGTTAAAGTACAGGCCCATACATGGTACTCTTGTTTAGTATCTGTGTTAAATGGTTTTTGTTTTTCATGCCTTTTTCTAAAGAATTAAATTACTCACTTTCCTGCTTCTCATATGTTGGCTTGTTGTGAGCCCTGGGTTTTGATTCTTGCAATGTATGTGCCTTATTTTATGTTTCTCTTGTCAATGAGAAGGACCAGTTGTCGTCCAGTCAGCACTCCAAGGCTGCATGTCCAGACAGTGTTACCAAGAAGCGAGCCCACGACTGTAGCGGTCTGAGCTGTCGTGTGACTGATTTCCTGTGTTGTTTGAAGCTGATAGGAGGATGTTCTCCTCTGACAAGTCACCCTTGTATATCCTGCAAATGTGTAAGATAAACTATGTTCCTTTTCTCCACCTTTTTTTAGATTTTTAAAGAAGAAAATGTGTAATCCTTTTTAAAGAACAACACATGTAAATACATTCAAGTATTGTAGGTGTAGAGTTGGTATGTGATGGCCTTGGGCCTTCCTCGGTAAAGCCTGTGGCTGCTCAGTGCTCATAGGCCACAGGAATGGCAGCCCAGACACATGAACTCTGCCTTGGCTTTCAGAACCACTTAGTCCTTTTGTAACAAAGAAAAAAAATCAACAAAAATAAATAAATAAATAAAAACGTTTCTTACGGTGTCAATAAAAAACTTTGTACTGAAATGTTTTACTGGATTCTTTTTGTTTTCTTCCACTTAACCCCTATAGGAGTAAAAGAATACTTTACCTGGAAAAATCCCCTACCTATAGTTGAATCCAGACTGGACATACAAATTATATTAGTTACAGTTCTCTAGAGTCAAAGATCTTATACAGTGTGTGTGTGTGTGTGAGAGAGAGAGAGAGAGAGAGAGAGAGAAAGATTGATAATTATTGGTATGTCTTACAGGCTGTGGTCTAGTTAATCCAATGGTGACTACCTATGATCAGAAGGTTAAAGAACCCAGTAGGCTAGATGTCTCATCTGGTCTTCAGTATGCTCCAGAACCCCAAAGAAGTAGCTCTAATGCCAGTGAAGAAATGGACTTGATAGCATGAGCAAGAGCTGGCAAAGAGACAGCTTCCTTCTTCCATGCCCTTTATATAGGCTGCAAGAGAAGGTATGGACCGGATTAAAGGTGGATATTCCCACCTCAAAAAATATGAATTAAAGGATCCAGATTAGAAATGTGTCTTCCCACTTCAAATAATTTAATTTAAAAATTCCTCACAGGTATGCCCAGTCATTTGCGTATTCATTAATTCCAGATGTAGTCAAGTTGACCACTAAGAAGAACCATTACATAAGTTAAATTTACTGCCTTCAGTCACTCTATGAAGATGAAAATGCTAGCGCATTCATTGGCAGTGTGAGATGTGCCGTGCCCGTTGCGTATCCTGTGTCTGAGAATGTGCGGAGGGTGTCGGGATTGATGACAGTCTGTGGTGCAAAGAAAGCTTCAAGAAGGCTTCCAGAAAACTTCAAGAAGCCCCTCAAGAAAGCTTCCCTTTATTCTTAACCTGGCTGGTTATATGCCCCTGACACCAGGGTGTCAGGAAGAGGCCGTTAGTCATTGGAAAAGGTCAAGGTCAGGGTATTCCTGTGGGTGAGCCCTTATCAGGAACTTATTGTCCGGTAAACATTTCTTAGGGCACTGTATTGTTTTTAGTAAACATGTTTTTAGTAAACATGTCTTCTCTGCAGTCAGTTACAGCTGTCTGCTCCCAGGCTGATGGGGAAGTGGGACTCTGGCCAAGGTCTGTTGTTCCCACAAGATGTATACTTCACATACACAGGGCTGTAGAAAACATGCTAATGGCCCTTGTGTTTCTTACTCTTACTGCTTTGTCAACTCTGAGGAAGGGTGATAGGGTTTCACAGCCAAGAACTTGTCTCCCTTTTTTATACTATCCTTTTACCTAGAGATACACTAGTGTAAATGGACAGTCTGGCATGGTAAAGATTAACTTTATTCCCCACAGATTTTTCTTTAATTTCTATTTTATTCTGTGTTCATGGGTGTTCTGTCTGCATATATGTCTACACGATGTGCGTGTCTGGAACCCACAGAGGTCAGAAGAGGGCATCAGATCCCCTGGAACTGGAGTTGCTACCATGTGGGTGCTGAGAATCAAACCCCAGTTCTCTGGAAGAACAGCCTGTGCTGTTAACCATTGAGCCATCTCTCCAGCCCTGGGGGCTTTTAATGACTAGCTTCAGTCAGAAATGTATTTGTCTCCTTTGCTTTTTAGCCAATTTGCAGTAGTACTCTATACATTACCATCACAGATCTCTATTCCACTTTGTAAGTAACAGCACATCTTGGAAGCCACTGTTGCTGGGAAATGTGAGGATGTTGGGTGGGTATCCCAAACCACAGGACCAGAGCACCCCTTAAAGCAAGGGCATACAGGGACTTCGACATGCCTTTCTGATTCCTAAGGGAAAAATCCATTGCCCAAAATGCTTTGCTTTCATGAGTAGATGTCTCACAAAAGGTGTCCAAAGGAATTCAAGAAAAAATAAGAAAGCATGAATTTATACTCTGTTCATATATAAATTACCAGCTCAAAAATATGTGTCTCATACAGCATGCCAGAATAAAAGTGAAATGCTTCTGGTGAAAAAGGTTGAAAGGCAGGGTTATAAAAGAAGTACATCTTCTGTGTTAGAGCAACAGAACTGGGATGTGTGTGTGTGTCTGTGTGTGTGTGTGTAAGGTTTTTATAGAGTGGTTCACAGTTTGTGGTCTGGCTAGTCTAACAATAATGGCTGTCTCCCGAAAGGACAAGAATCCAATACTTACTCCATCTACAAGGCCGCATGTTTAAACTTGTTCTTGGTCTGCACTGGTATCCTAAATTGTAATCCCAATGAAGGAATGGCTGAGCAACAGGATAAATAAACTTCTCAGTGAAAGTGAAGGCAAGCAGGCAAAAAGCAAAAGCATGTCAGTTTATGTGGGCTGCCACTAGGAGTGACCCAGATTTCCTACTTCAAGAGATCTGGTCAAGAAAATTCCTCACAGGTGTACCCAGCTACTTGGGTTTTAATATATTCAAATTGTAGTTAAGCTGACAACTAAGATTAGCTATCACATTTCCCAAATGCCATTTTAATCCCAGAGGGCAGCATTGGGGATGGCTCACTGTTTTCCGTTGAAAATGTCTCCTGTGACCTAATTGCTTAATAAAATTCCAAATAATTTTATGTATGAGGATCAATGAATTAAACAACTGGATGTAAGGTAAACTATACAAAATACATTATCTTTTAATCACATGTATGTTTTCTTTTTTTTTCCGAGAAAGGGTTTCTCTGTGGTTTTGGAGGCTGTCCTGGAACTAGCTCTTGTAGACCAGGCTGGTCTCGAACTCACAGTGCTGGGATTAAAGGTGTGTGCCACCACTGCCCGGCACATGTATGTTTTCATTGAAAATAAATTTTTCTCATAGAATATATACTGACAATGGTTTTCCCACCCCAATTTCCCTCCCCACCAGCCCACTCATCCAACTCTGTGCCCTTTCTAATACAACAAACAGGCAAGCAAACAAAAAAAAAATCAAATCAGAATAAAAAATTAAAAATGAAAACAACACATAGCACAAGCACAAAAATAAATAAAAGCAGCTAATGTGGTAGTGGGGTAGTGCACTCCTTTAACCATAGGAGGCAGAGACAGAAGCACATCACTACATTCAAGGCCACCGTTGGTCTACAGAGTTCCAGGACAGCCAGGGCTACACAGAGAAACCCTGTCTCAAATAAATAAACAAACAAATAAATAATTAAATCAAACAAAACCTGTAAAAGCAAAGTCAGAAGTCATATTATACAAACAGAAGGCTAGTAAGACATGTATTTGGTTTTCCTCTGACCCACAGCTTACCTAGTGTCAGGTGGTCACTGAAGCAGAACTGGGTATAGGTTTCACCGTGGAAAATGAGCCTTAAATGCGATCATAAAGTGGTTGGTTACCCCACAGCTTTTGTGCCACTATAGTACCAGCATACCGTGCAGTCAGGACACTGTTTAGATCACAAGGTTTGTAGCTTGAGCTGGTGATTCCCTTTGCCCCTTCCCGTGGATCCCCTCAGCCCACTCCCATTCCTTTGCGTTAACCTTTGATACCTGGAACACTTTTTCCCTGGGACCTTCAGTGGCCATACCAGTCTGGGACTCAGGTGTCCTCCATTACAATCTCCATTCCCATCCCTAGCCCTGTAACAAATAGTTACAGCTCTTCCTCCCACAATCCAGTCGCTGGAGACTTCATCTCTCAGTACAGACCCGGTGTCCCTCTAGTCCTTTCATGCCTGTCTCTCCAGATTATTCTTTGTCTTACTTAAACCTATGTAACAGGAGGCCCTCCTCTCATACCTCCATCTCCCTGGGAACTCTGTCTCTTGGTGTGGACAGGATCCTCTTAGCTGTTTCCCACAGCCCTTTTAGCCTTTTCTCCTAGCCCATTTCTAGTCTTTTCTGCCACCCACAACTGCTGAAAGCATTGTCTACCAGGGAACCCACAGCCACCACAATTTCCTAAAATCCAAGGAATGGAACACCCAACAAAGAGAAGACCAGATGGCAACACCTAAAATCACCTCAACCATCATAACTCCAGATGCCTAGACACCAGTCCAAAAACAAACATTAACAAATAAGACATGCTTCTGCCAGAACGCAGAACCCTTGTTTCCAAGGACATGCAAGGCACAGGGAAGAAACTGGGCAGAAGAGAAGAGAGATGTAAGAAAGGAGGAGGGAATGTATAGAGTCCATGTGGTTAGAAACAACATCTGGCTGGATTAAGAAATTCATGGACCAAGTCACGAGACACCATGGAAAATCTCTTATTTTCAGTGAAATGGTCGAAAAGGAGAATCAGATCAGGGAACTAAATGACAGACAAATGATTCATAGATAAATTTAGTGACTTCTTCCAAGCAGCATGCCACATTCAATTCCATGTAAGATGCTGAGATGCCATTCAGTGGTGAGACATTATGTCATGTTCCCCGTGTGAAGAGAAAGCACCACCAAACTAATTATGAGAAGAAAGCACAAATGTCCTCAAACAAACACACACAAAACCACACAGTCTGAATAGCTACCAGGGTGGAGAAATGCAGAGCTGGCCATTGTGGCATAGAGTGTGTCCTAAGGGGAGGGAGAAAGTGGATTTTCTTATGCTTATTTCTGTCTCTTTTTCCACCTCCTCCTCCCTTTGACTCTCCTCCCTTTCTCTCCTGCAAGGGACTTCACTGTTAATCAGCCACTAGGAAAGACGTAGGCAAGAGACAGAAGCAGGTTAAAGTAAGCAGAAAGAAGCACCGGATCTCCCTGCATCTCAAAGAAAGCACACTGGGCCTGGACTAAGAGATTCTGGCAAACTCGGAGAGACGTGCTGGTTGGTGCAGTCCAGTCAGTGCAAAAACAGCTTAGACTTTTGAAGAAAGTGCACAATGTGTCTGGAAGGCCACTGAACTTGAACTGGAGCTTTGGAATAAATTGAGTGAGGATGGAATTGAAAGGTGGGGGGAAACAGCATAAAACGGGATCTGATCAGCAAGATTCATGTACTGTTACTCCTTTTGGGGAAATGTTTACAATACCATTGGTAATGATGGTGGATGGCCAGCGGTGGAGTGTTAGAGAGGAAATGATGGGGATCAGAGTG